GTTATTCCCAAGATTCTAAAAAAAAAAGATCAAAAATGTACTCGTTTGATGACCACAACTTTTTAATAAGCACTGGAGTGGGATGTTTTTCTATCGGATCCAATTTCGGCACAGAGCTTTCGAAAAGTTTGGGATACTTACCCGTATAGAAGTCGTCCATTGAGTTCACCACTGCAATCTATGTAAGTGCCTTCGAAATACGAAATGAGCCGCATGGCAACTTCTTCGACATGCCTGTAACTCGTTGCTGGTGAAACACTGTCCCAAAACAAAACCGAGAGATTCACTTTGTTGAGAGCTCTAGCAACAAAACCTCGAAGAAAAATGAAAGGGGGAGATGGATAGCTCCCTTAGACAGAAAAGTGGATGAGAGAACCAATGAAATGGAGAAAAAACGTACTCCCGAGGCCATCCTTGAACACTAAGCTCGCCTTCGCTCGTGTCAAAGTCATCTGAAGCCCGATAGTCCGCCGTCCAAGTTTTGTCCACAATTTCCAACGAGTAGGTCAATTCATTAACAGCTGACTCTTCGTCGTTTAACCTCCTGTATGGAATATGATATTCTATCATCCTTTGACTGTGGAATTTTCGAACATACTATCAAGAATGCAAAAAACGCACCTTATGAAAGAGTCACACGCTACTCGCACCTCTTTCGTCACGCCAATTGCAATGCAGTAAATCGGTTTCATCACTAGCTGAATTTCGGTATTGCTTTCAAAAATAGAGCAGATTGGAGGAAAAGGTGATACTTACCCACTGAGGAGCATCATATCCATTCGTCAAGCTCAACTCCCTTCCATCGAACGTTAACAAATTCACCATACGTAGACCGCAATTCACATCCTTGAAAACCAGCTCGGCCTCTTGGCTACTAGCGGGCTCTTCATTTTCCGATTCTTTTTCTTTGTCCAAAAGGCGCCAGCTCCATGGAAGATTCCGGTTCAATAACTAAAATTATCGGCTACGATAACAATGTTTCTGTGGCAGCACCCGCTGTTGATGCATGTAGCCAAATAACGTCTTCACAATCTCGCCATTAACGCGATAAAACTCATGTATTAAAACATATTCAAAAATTCAACTATAATACATGACTTGAAGAAATCTGAACACGATGTTGTCCTGCTCCACGTACTGATTTAAAAAAAATGAGAGGGTTCGATATCAGATCAAGAACACGTGAACATTTCTTTTTCTGTTGGGAATGCGCGACTTCGTTCCATATTTCACAAACTTCTCTTAGTCTCTTACTCTCTTACTTTTATCTTCGCCTCATTTTCGTTACAATTCAGAGGCCACGCTCGGAAAATCGCGCCCAGCACAAACAGCCTCAAACCAAAACAAAAACCTCTGTTTTTTTGACTTGTTTTGTTTGTTAACTGCTGTTTTAACGCCGCAGTTCGCGTTGCGAATGTTTCACAAGAATGCTGGGTTGTGAACAAAACTTTCGCCCCAGGCGGGACTAGAACCCGCACCTCTCGCTTTCCGGGCAAGTGCGCTACCAGTTACGCTACCGGGGCACCATTTCATTCCAACTCAGCTTTTCATGGTATACGTACCATAAAAGGATAAAGGATAAAGCATTTGCCGTTGATCAATCCCTTTTTGGGATGCGGCACGCATTCTACTTCCATTTGTACATTCGTAGTGGCGTTTGAATGCGATGTGGCCTATACAATGACTTGCGGGGGCCAGCCGATGTCAAAGTCAGTGTTTTTATCCTCCCAGACAAGTCTGGTACCAATTAACCGACCCCGGAGGGATGGAAGGCTTGGTTGGCCCGGGCGACTCACGACCCAGGATTTGATCCCGGACCGCTCGCGTGGTGAGCGCGCCACTTGTCACTGCACCACTTCCGCCCTCTCTACATTTTTTTATACGTCCATAGTTGATGAAATGGTGCCCCGGTAGCGTAACTGGTAGCGCACTTGCCCGGAAAGCGAGAGGTGCGGGTTCTAGTCCCGCCTGGGGCGAAAGTTTTGTTCACAACCCAGCATTCTTGTGAAACATTCGCAACGCGAACTGCGGCGTTAAAACAGCAGTTAACAAACAAAACAAGTCAAAATTCATGCTAAAGCTTTCAGCCTCGCGGTCATTGCCGATATCGGCTAACCGGCTCAACACGTTAGACGTGTGAGTGCTGAAAGCTATGGTACGTATACCATGAAAAGCTGAGTTGGAATGAAATGGTGCCCCGGTAGCGTAACTGGTAGCGCACTTGCCCGGAAAGCGAGAGGTGCGGGTTCTAGTCCCGCCTGGGGCGAAAGTTTTGTTCACAACCCAGCATTCTTGTGAAACTATGTCGTTAATCATGTGTTGGAACCTTAAAGGCACGAGTCAGGATTGAATTGATGCGTTATTTTGTTCGAACATTAGACAAGGGGTGCGCAATGAAGGAACATTAGTGAGGAGAAAAAGCAAAAAGCACCATAGAAAACCCTAAATTTCCCTTAGGAGGCCGGCCGTAGTACGACGGAGAGACACAGCGCTGCGAGGAGAGTGAGAACGCGAGATAGTACGTCATACGTGAGAGTCGCAGAGGCCACGTATTGTGGTGGATTATGCTGGCAGCGCGGGCAGCGCGGCGAGCAAGGCCTTAGCGCCATTACCGCGCACTTTTGGGTCACGACAGTGTCGTGTCCTTAGTGCTTGGGGAGCCCACTATCACACCCTGGGAAGAACTTCTGCTGGTTGCCTAATCCTCTGACTCGTGCTACACAAAATAGGAGGACTACTTCACAAAGGTCAAAAAAGAAAGTCTCGCTCAACATCGTATTTTTCACAGCATTAAGGAATTGTAGAAGCTGGACAAGGACACAAGTCGAAAGGATCTCTCCTGTGCATGTTCTCTCCTATTAGAAACGGATCAGAAGCCGTTTCTTTCATGAAGGGATTGTCCAAACGGAAGTAAATCAGGTTACCGGACCCATTCCTTATAAAATTGTTTGAACTTCACCATTGGCACTGCTCGTTAAGTCGACTACAATCAAAAACCTTACGTCTTTCCATTCGTAGACGGACGACGGGTAAGCATCATACCATTCGCGGTTCCTTATGAGGCATTCGATGATTGCACGATACGAAGACCTGTGTTCTGCCTTTTTCGTTCACACTACATAAATAAGAAAATTATAAAATAGAAAGAAAAAATAATGAAGAGAAAAACCCGAAGATGAAGAACAAAATGAGAAAAGTACACTGATGACATACTCGTGCATTCCTTTATAGGATCGATGCAAGTAAACACGCTTCACACGAACGTCCATTTATTTCCAACACTCGACGGACATACTTTTCGAAGCAACGAATCATGTTGAACTTTCCCTGATGCATCCGAATGATCTGCAATTAACGCTTTGACAGAGGACTTCAAGATAAGGCGTGAGAGTCCGAAAAAGACGGACCAACTCTCTCGTGAAGGCAAGGAGGCGCCCTAAAGAAATGCGAGATCTATGGCGTCATTTTGCAATCAAAGGTAAACCCCCTTGCGGCCTAACAGGCCTACCCACTGCCGATAGTGCCGCTCACCTCACCTGCCTGATTGCTGAGCCCCAACGTCTCAACTTAGTCCTTGGTAGAGAAATCATGGCGCTTGACTAGTCAGCGCCAATGAGAATGTCTAACGCGCTGAATCAACGGGCAAAACGTACATTTCTCGAGTTCAACGCCTTTTGCATTGTTTTTTCTTACACCCTGGCTCCAGATCTGACCACTTCCTTATTTTTCTAGGAACTGTTTTTCCGTCGTTAACTCCACCCATAATCGACTATTGAGCTTGAGCGGAGGATTCTCATATGTACCACACTAATGCTAACAAAGAAATGCCTGTACATGTCGGTAACATATGCCCATAGTTCTTGATAAAGATACTGAGTAATGAAGCGCAGCGGTAGTGAAGTGTCAGAATTGATTCCACGACCTCTCGTCTGTTAGTCAGTGTCACTACCGATGCGCTACACAGCCTCATAATTTCTTTTAGGGGATCTCGCAAGCAAATAGCAGAAGCAATCCTTGAACTCAGCGTCTTGAGGAAAATATGTAGGTATACATCTCATTTTAAACAGCTAGACTGGCCAGTTGACCATCGTAATAACTTCGTATAGCATAAGGCCTTAGCCATCGTGTTGGTCATCGTCTCTCTTTATTCAGCGAAGTACCCATGTTCTATGCGAATTCTTTTAGAGTTCTTGAATTCTCTAGCTCTTCAGCTAAAAAAGGGCAGTTCACACAGAATGATCGATCTCTCACCTGAATTTCATTTGTTTTACTATGACGGCTCCATTTTTCTTCGATGGTGAAGGTGAACCATTTTTAACACGATACGTCATGGTTGCATTTTCAGTGCTATTCCAGTCAGACTTTCCAATAACGAAAGCACGAGGGAACAGCTAAAACATGCCCTCAATTAACAAATCAAGGCCATGAACATCGCTTAAAAGAATGACCGACTGGATTCGATTGAATCGATTAAAATTTACCCTGGCAACCCGATGATCTTATTCCTCAAAGAGTCGTCACACTCCTTCCACGACTTGAAGTACACCCGTACCGCGTTCTCAAACTTCTCCGCTTTGTCCCTGTCTAAGTGCTTGAAGAGCTTCAGCCGTTCCGTTGTTGTGAGCCGTACAGCCTAAACAGGAGCGATACAGAGACACATTCTATAGACAATTAAGAGATATAGATAACAACTCAAAAAGGACTCAAAATTCTCAGTGACTAATCAAACTCCAACCTCATAAATGAAGCGTAGACTTCGTATGGGAATTGAGTCTACCGCCAAGACCTACGAAAAACCACCTAACGTTGTTGCACCTATTTGTTTAAAACGCACAGAAGCAGCGATAACGGTATTTTTAGTGATTCAGTATTTCCATGGAAATATTGTAACACTACTGCCATAATTGCAGGTGTGCGATGCTTGTGACAGTTCCACGCTCTTTCAAAAGGAAGCAAGAGTGCCAAAAAAAATCATTCTGCCCTGCAGACTCCCGGCCACCATAACTCTGATGCCACCGAACCAGTTCAAGAAAAAAGTCAAAATCACGAAACTTCTTAGCAAATCGCATCAGAAACCACAAAAATTTCAAAAGATTTTTCAAAACCTGAAGGAAATGTTAAGGGAGCTCCGGGCAACATGCTCATGGGAAAGGCAGTTTTATTTTTTTAGCCTTCCAAAGCGTTTCGAAAAAAACCATGTTATATTTTTCCCCATCACTATACCGTTGACAAGAACACATCCTACCTTCATTGCGGCAAATGCTGCCTTTGATGCAAGTTTTCCTGTTATCGTTTCTGGTTTTAAAAAAACATGAACTCGTACGCGATATCTCAAGCCAAGTTCTCCGATGCATGCATCCGCGAAACACGCCTGCCTCACGAACATAGCACTGTGCTTTGTGAAAAACGCATCAAATTAAACTAAACAAAAGCGCAGGAAATAGAGGAACTTTCGATATACTTACATCGATTGCTTGGCGGAAGAACCACTTCACATACTCTCTTATGTCCTGATCTACAGAGACATCAATGAGGATTGAGTGTGTTCTTTCTCCAAAGAGAATTTCACACAACCCTCCTTCTCCGACAGCTATCTGTAAACAAAACATTAGAATTCAGAATGATCTAGTTACACAACCACTGAATTTTCTAGATGCGATTAACAATGAAACAAAATTGGGATCAGCTCAAATAAAAAGCTATCGCAATAATTTTGTGGAGCACCGGAACTTCTCCTTTCTCACTTCCTTTACGCGATTTACGTGATAGCTAATAAGAGAAGATAGAGTTCATACTGTTACCTGTACCGACAAATGTAGTAATTGAAGAATTAGAAACAAATGCGGCACCATCAAATGCCTAAGAAAAACGCACATAACCTTGTCCACCAAGTTGCAGTCTTCAACGGTAACGGCGCAGTATCGACCAGAGTCAACCCTGCGTTGCGCAGTTCTCAACGGCCACGTTGCGCAGTTTCGCCCGATTAGACACGTTCTCTCGCGCGAACATTCACACTCGCATGCTCGAGCCGTCTGCGTCTCCGCCCATACAGCGTGCGTTGAGGATCTCTCAACGTGCCGTTGCGAACTGCGCAACGCAGGGTTGACTCTGCTTTGATCACCAACTCGCCGATGGAAACAATGTATTAACCCCCACATCTCGCTGCCGTCAGATAATCTAATTCCCTATATGTTCTCATTAGTCACAAAAGGTGCCTGTACAGTATATCAGAGTCGTTAAGATCAAAGGAACCGGCAGAACAAAGCAAGTCCCTGCATGGCAAAATCACAGTGACACAGAACATCACTTACTACAAGCCGCAATCTCAAAATATTTAAATATATAATCGAGACTGAGAACCTACGATGCAAACATGCCTGTTCTAGACTTGCTGGTAATGCAGAAATGGAAGATAGAAATAAATAATCAAAGAAATAAAGAAAGAAATACATTAAAATTCTGATACGTCTTGATAACTACCCGCATACCGGATTTCGGACAGCGATTCCATTTAGTTGATATGTGGCGAGCAATTCAACCTTGATACGATAGCATCAACGAGAGCCGACCGATTCGTCGTTCGTATTGACATCCGGATATAAAACTAATAATCAACTGAGCGAAATAAACCATGTGATCAATATCCTTACAGGAAGCTGCGCAGCTTCCTATTGAACCAAGCTATGGCTGCAACCGAACTCGTCGTTGGCAAAGGATGGTTCCCACGACTCCCTGATACAGTTGTCTCAGGCAACCAATTGCATTTGCAAAACTCTTTTATTAGGCGAAGTTAGTCTCATGGCTATCTTCTCTTCCTACCACACCGAGTTACGGGCCTCTCCCCAGGCGAGAGGAGGCAGCCTAACTGATCCAGAAAACACTAAACTCACATGAGCATTGCTGAGAAACATCACTCTCGGATGTGGCGATTTCAGCCCGTGCGAAGTAATCCAAATTATCCACCTAGGGAATACTTCAGGTTGAGTATGTGAGTTCAGTTTTGGAGAAGAAAGCTCGATAGATGTTAGCGTAATTGCTCATGGCTACCTTGTAACTGCCATTTCTACATGTTTTGTGATTTCTTCTCAAATAATCATAAAGACGACGTCGTACGGCCGGCCCGAAGCGAATATCGGTCCTCAATCTTGATTCTCTCATCTAAAAAAATTCAACTTCGCAAGACAAATATGAATTACATGTTCGCTATGTAGCTTACGCTTGCACTGCGGACTAGCTATGAAAGAAGAGAGAAGAGAGAGAGAATCAGGTTCTGCGACTGACACTCCCTTTAGACAGTTATCATCTGGACGAATTTATTCTGGCTCTTTCTCGATCGTTCTTTTTCCAACGAGACAAACACCACCGCGAAATAAAGCGAAGCGCTACACTCAGTCATTTCACGAGTGTTTAAAACGTGTTATGATTTCCTATGCTAGGGATTTTTTGCGTCTTGCTATTGGTCTACAACTGAATGTAGCCTCCGCTTGATCTCGCGGAATGGACCTTTTGAAGAGCAAAGGCAAAACATGGCCAGAATAGTTTTCTGTCCAACGAATAACCTCGAAGGAGGATTCAAAACTAATGCGCATGGGAAGTCGAGTCTAAGATGAGTAATGAATCAAGATATGTCTATCCAGCAGAACAGTGATCGGAACCTTTCCAAGAGTTCATCTTTTCGGTTGTACAAGGTGTAGGCCCTCAAACACCTCTCTTTCTGCTTTCCAGGAAGAGCTATTGTAAGAATGAAAAAAAAGAGATAGTCAGTCTCAGACTAAGTGCACGATTTCAAATTGTGGCATAATTTATCAATTGAGCTCGAAACGCTGATTAGGCCGCGATAATATAGAACCGACGTCATAGTCGGCGACGGGACAAGCGATGGAGCGATCGCGATCGCTCCATCGCTTGTCCGTCGCTTGTCAATCGCTCTTGGTCGAGCGATTGGCAAGCGATTGCGCAATCGCTTGCAAAGTGCACAAGCGACGGGCAATGGCTCTGCTCGATCGATACCGCAGCCGACCGCATTGACTGGGGGCGGGGCCAATCGCCCGTCGCTTGTGCACATTGCGCAATCGCTTGCCAATCGCTCGACCGAGAGCGATTGGCAAGCGACGGACAAGCGATCGCGATCGCTCCATCGCTTGGTCCGTCGCCGACTATGACGTCGGTCTAAAGGCGTTGATCTGGTGAAATCAGTTAAAATGACTGCAAATATCGCTCACGCTTAAATTGGCATCTACTGCGTGTCTGTTTCAGGTACACGATACTCCATTGTTATGCTGTCGCGACTCGCGACCTTTTGAGATCAGTGATGGTGTCAATGCTGGGAAAGGTGAGAGTGCTTTTGAGATCTTTGTTGGAGTCGTTGATGGATACCACATTCGAAACGGGCGATCTTCGCTCACCTGCAACCTCGTGTTATGAGCAGAAGACACTGACAGATTGCAAAAAAAAAGACACCGACTTGTATAGGTCTTGTTTCCTCCAACGTCACTCTTTGCAGAAAATAGACCTTTCCTGGTTGAGGTACGGGCCCTTTCGGCTTCATTATGAAAAGATAAGGCGCAACTTGTATGATATCATGTATCAGATCACGTTGAGTGGCCATATACTGGAACAATGAAATATAGGATATGAGAACTAATTTTTGAGAATCTTATGGCTTGTTTACATCGAATGCACAACAGCCTCCACCACATCACCATGTACTGTCAGCAGTAGTACAAAACCAGAAGCTGAACCTCATCCCTAACCATAAGATTAGTTCCTCAACTTTCTCGCCCTCGATGTGAAAGAAAAATGTTGGTCAAGGAAATGGGAGTGATCATTTTGTACTCCTACTGACTAGTATAGGGCGCCATTCGTTGCGGGACCCACTGCCTTAACCCGCGGGGATCCCATGTGATCGCGGTTGAATTCGAACATTCCAGCTTCTCACGCATGTCAAGTGTCTGCCCTCACCCCCCACCCCCCTAGACTGGCGACACTGCCCCTGGCTCACGGATTCCCCGCTCCACATTGAAGGGTTCACTGTAGCAGGAGGCAGTGGGACCCGTAACGAATGGCGTCCTTTACTAGTCAGAAGGAGTACAAAACGATGCGTTCGTGGCAAATGCAACC